GGGGGGGGGGGGGGGGTCACCGGCTCCCAAGCTGCCATCCTGTGCATCAGCAGCCAGTGGACTTGGTTTACTCAGACATAGCCAGGTAAGCAGCAGGCAGGGCAGGATAAGACAGGGCAGGGCAGAGACTGCTGTGCAGGTGGCACTGGAGCTCTGTCTACGCAATGGACCCTTGAAGGTGGCTGGCTGGCTGGCTGTCAAAGGTGGCAGAGTGGTGGGAGCGGAGGCAGCCTGGTGGGAGGCATACAGAGATACCCACAACCTGCTGGCTTCAGTCACTTCAGGCAGCTTACATGGTCCCCACTCCAAGGACCAATGTTTATTTTGTTTTCTCCTGACCTAACTTTGGGCACTTAGGCTGCTTCTGCCTCAGGCTTTTTGAATGTTTTGTACTTAGTCCATACATTCACCATATCATTAGTTTAATTCACCTGAGCATTTTCCTTTGAAAAACTAAAAAAGTTAAATAAAATTAAAGATAAGTGAACATATATTATTGTCCACTATGTATCTAAAATACAAAAATAACAAAGTGCAAATACAGTGAAATATAATACTTTAATTTTATTCACTAGTTCTATAAATTGCTTAAACACCTGTCTACCATATAACTTGGGATTTTTATAAGTACATTATGACTCAAAAATCACAGCAAGATTGTTGTGGATTCATAAATGTTTATATTTTTACTTAACTTCTTTTGCCCCCAATTAGTAGTAATATATTTTCATAAGTGAAATTCTAATAGAGATTTTTCTTCCCTAATAAATTGTCACCTTAAGAGTAGCTAATTCCCTGGGGTCAGCAGTAGCAGAATTAGAAATGTGATAAAAAAGAAAATTATAAAAAAGTCACAAATGTCTCTGATAATCATTATATCAACTTGTTAAACTAATTTTGTCACAGAACAGACAGTTTCTTTCCTGACCTCCCACAACTGACTAAACAAAATACCTTAAAGTCATTCACTGTAATTCCTATATTGCAAGAGAAGTTTCTGAGAGCTATGACAAAATGTCTCTGAGTAGCTGATGAGCTTGGAGTATGAATATTCAGATACATCAAGGCTTGGACTGTACCTGCTAGTTAAATGACAATTATTTGATAATATGTATGTACATAAAACATGAAGCTGAAGAACAGTTGTTGGAATTGTAACTGCTACATCTCAAGTAAATATCTGGGCTATGCAAGCGAATAAGGAACTGTTATTTACTGTGTCTCATAATACAAGAATTAGGGGATATATAATGACATTAGGCATCAGATTTAAAAAAAAACAACACATAACTAACGTGTAGAAATCATTTTCACAGAATATTTTGAAGGCCATTATTATTTTATGCTGGATCGGTCCATCAGAGTCTAGTAAACATAGCAGTTACCATACTCATTAGGGGTGTTCAAAGCGGGCCCTATTAGATTCAGATTTGGTTTCAGCCTGAATTGAGGACAGTGATTTGATTTGTTGATTCAGATCACTTTCCCTGATTTCACTCATCTAAATTTGAATCTGCAGATTCGATGCCGATTCAGAGAATCAGAGATTCGGATATAGACACAGTTTTAAATGTTTTTTGTACAAACCTTGAGGTACCAACATGGCTTGTGATCACTGTAATGCTGCTGTGGATGGAGTCTCCCACAACAGTGCGGGGGTCCCTCCTTGTGGTTGGCAGTGAACCCAGAATTGGACTAGAAGTACTTCCAGTCCACTTCCAGGTCTGCCGGGAAGTGCACAACCCCCCTCCCCCCCCACACACACACCCACACACTTCTCACTGGCTCAGCAATAAGCTTTGGGGGGACCCCAGCTGCATCCCCCTCCAGACCCAGGAGGCACCAGTCACTGAGCCCGGAGGGCATGGGGGTTGTGCCCTCCCTGGAAGACTTGGAAGTGGACCAAAGTGCTTCTGGTCCACTTATGGGTCTGCTGCCAAATGCACTGGGGAGCCCCCCATGCTTCTGTGGGACACTCCATCCACCCCAGCATTGCAGCATTGACAAGCCACCTGCTACCTAGAGGTATGTAGAAAAAACGTTTAAAACTGTACCTATGTCTGAATTGCCAAATCTTTCTGAATGTCTCTGAATCAATTTGGGGAGTTCCAATTCAATTCAAGGAGATTAAAGGGTCCTCTGATTCAATTCAGATTCAGAGATTTGGCCATTGAATTGGGTTGAATCTTTGCTGAATTGAATCAGGGAACAAAGCTTCACACAGCCCTAATACTCATGGTAAATGAGAAGGTATGACAGGGGATGGATCAGTCTACTCTGTTTCATATGCTCTAAATACACTCTATTCTGCAAAAATCAATAAATATTTCTTCAAGACTGAAAGCTGTCAAATTCCCAAATGCTACAATACTATTTACCTATGGGAGATTCTTATATGGGGAAATAACTAATGATATCTTTGATCTACTAACGTGAGTTACTGCTCTGCTGTACTCTTATATACAGATTAGTTTGTTTGCTGAGTAGTTACACTCAAGAAAATTGGTCATAACAGTTATTTTTTAAAACCAAGGTACTTACCACTTAACTTGGGACTTGGTGTTCCCAAAGCTGGTCTAGGGTCTTTCACCAATATCTTTGAACCAGCTGTTGAAATAAAAGACAAAAGAGATAGCTACCCATATCCAGTAAACTGGAGGACAATAGCAAAACACCTTCACTGCATGGATTTGCAGTGTTGGGTGCCAGATGATTTGGGGTGAGGATTTCAAATGAAGCTAAATATCTAAGGATAGTAACTGAATGGACTTTGAGTGTGGCCAGTGCTACCAAGTTCCTTAGGCCCAGATCCATGTGCTGAGTGATGCAACTCCCAACTTGCAGGTACCTGGCCCACACAAAAGAATGCACAACCCTGAATACGGTGCCAAAGTTTGCTACCATATAATGCAGAGAGTTATACATGTCAGAATAAATCTATAAACAAAATGGGGGAAAAATAAGCAATATTATGAGTGAATGGCTGATTGAATCCAGCTCATACAGCATGAAGAGGTTAGTAAAGCAAATCTCTCTAGAAATTAGTTGCCTCCTACACTTCATCTTCACAGCCCAGGGACTACCTTCCTTACTAAAGAACAAAGCAAAGTTAACTTCTTTCTTTTAAAAGATCATTGTGGTGGTACCAGTGCTTCCATTTATTCAGTGGCCACAGTGGCTAAGTGAATGACCAAAAAATGGGAAATTCAGGTTCATTCCCTTCCATTGCCTGAAAGGATACAAACTCATGTTTCTCATTTCCCTGGAGGGTACCTGATTAGTGGGCTACAAGATGAAGTGATCTCCATCCTCTTGTTGAAGTTGCTACTTGGTGTAGAAAAGAATGTGAGAGCCACTGGGCCAAAAGAAGAGTAACAGGGACCATTCCTTTGCAACATAATAGCTGGGGTATTCATCTAGGTTAAAGGAATTCTGAATATCAGTCCATGCTCCACTGAGTATTCATCCATTTCTCTACTGTGTCATATGAATTGCAAACATAGTAGTCAAAGCAAAGGCCAACACCCAGGCAACACCCTTATATATTAGTGCCATAAACACTGGGTTATTCTCACTCCTGCCCCCACCCTCTGGCTGAAAGATCACTATGTTTTGCTTCTTGCCTGATTGGTACTCTTTAAACAACCCTGGTTTCTAGCTTGCTTCCTTAACCCCTCCTCTCCTGACTTCAGTTTACCAACTCTGTGCCCTGCTCCTTGATCCAGGCTTCTGGATCCTGCCATCACCACCCATGTGACCTGTACTAACTACTAGGGCTCTGCAAAATTTCGCCAGCCATTTCATTCTGATACTGTTCTACCAATTTCAAGGTTGAAACAGTAAAAGCAGAACAAAACAAAGCCAGTCAAAATAGCCTTGAAAAAAAATGGGGCTGGTCAAAACGTTTTGACTTTTGAAACATTTTGACCATAGGCTGGGGATGGAAAGTCAGTCCAGCTGGGCTGACTTCCCATCCCCAGTGCAAGATCCAGCATCCCCATCCGCTTGATCACACCGGCCCCAGGAAGCAGCCCAGCGGCGTGATCAAGTGCTGGGGATGGGAAGCCAGCCCAGGCGGTCTG